GGCTGATCTTTTAATTGGTAGTGTAGATATGACTTCCTATTTCAAATAGTTGTGTTAACAAATGAGATGAAAGTAAAACAAATATGTGTGTCAAATTTTATCTTTGATTGTGTTAAAAAGAAAATTGTGGATCCTGGTTTGGTGCCTGTGGCTCAAGCAGCTAAGGTGCCAGCCACATACACCTGAGCTGGTGGGTTTGAATCCAGCCTGGGCCCACCAAACAACAATGACAACTGCAACCAAAAAATAGCTGGGCGTTGTGGTGGACACCTGTAGTCCCAGCTACTTGGGAGATGGAAGCAGGAGAATCCCTTGAGCTCACGAGTTTGCGGTTGCTATGAGCTGTGACACCATAGCATTCTACCCAGAGTGACAGCTTGACGCTCTGTCTCAAAAAAAAAAAAAAAACAATTGTGGATCCTGAAGTCTAATTTCTGATCCTGGCATTCAGGATTCTCAACTTAAACCCATCCTGGAAACCCTGTAAACAACCCCCTTACATTCAATAAGTATAAAGGTGAAGACTAATATCTTTAATTTTAGCATAAAGATGGAATCTAATATAACTTTTCCCTCACTTAAGTAGTCTAAGTATGATTTCAGCATATATTGTGTCAGCAAATAGTGTATTTTCTAGAGCTGGTGTGGAAATAAGATTCAAGAGTACTCCTACCTGATTTTCATAGGATTATGTGGAGAAAGTATCAGGAGATGAGGTAGAAGCTTTAAACTGCAAACACTAAGCATTATTTTTTGCACTTCTACATAATTCTTCATACCCAGTGTGCATTAATTGGTGCTATTGGATGGGAATATCAATATACCTCTTATAGGAAAAGTCAAAGCCTTTGGCCTATAAGGCTCTATCTGAGTTTGCCTTTTATTAACCTCTCTGGTTTTTTCACTACTAAATCATTTTTTCTTTTTGAAATAGTTTCACCTTGTTGCCCAGGTTAGCAGGTTAGAGTGCAGTGGTATTGTCATATTTCACAGCAACCTCAAATTCCTGGGTACAAGCAATCCAGAATTTTGCCTCAGTCTCCTAAGTAACTGGGACTACGGGCATGTACCACCTTTAAATTTTTTGTAGAGACAGGGTCTTGATATATTGCCCAAGCTGGTCTTAAACTCCTGGGCTCTAACAGTCTTCCTGCATCACCCTCCGGAAGTGCAAGGATTGCAGGCACGAAGCCTCTAGGCCTGTCCTCTCTCATCTTCACTTGATACTGGACATACTAACCTTTCTGTCCCTCAGACACTATAGGCCAGAGCTGGGTGTGGTGGCACATACCAGTAGTCCTAACTACTCAGAAGGGTGAAGTGAGAGGATAACTTGAGCAGCTCAGGAGTTCAAGAGACCAACCTGGGCAATAAAGGGAGACCTTATCTCTATAAAAACAAAGAACAATATTAAAACCCACTCTAGGCCAGCTATCTTCTCAGAGCTTTATGTTGGTTATTTTGTTTTCCTGGAATTCTCAACCTACTTGCATGGTTCACTTTTTAAAAAATTTACCTCCTTCAGTTCTTTCCTCAAATGTCTTTTTTTTTTTTCATTTATAAATTTTTTACCCCAGCACTTCTAACCTCCCTCTTAACCCTGCTTATCTTTTTCTAGATAGCATTTACTATCCATCCCATTTGCTGAGGCCTAAAACATGAGTCATATTTGGATTTCTCCCTCTTCTTCAACTTAAATACTTAGTCACAATTCCTACTGTTGACTTTTTCAACAGAGAGAATTCTGTTGATCAAACAATTTATTCAGTTTGTTATCAAAAATAGCACTGCTTTGTCAAGGACAAGCACCACTTTGACAGAGTGATGGTAGTCAGGAGAGGTTAGAGAAGGAAATTTATAAGGCTTTGAGATTTTAACTCAAGTGGTTTAAGGCAGGGGAACTGGTTGGGATTAGGCAAAGTGTGTGATGTGATATTTAGAACTAATGAGCATAGCAAGAAGAAGGTCTTTAATGTGTTGTCCTGTTTGCCCTGATGCACAAACTGCTTCCCCAGATAATGTAGTTTGTAATAATTTCTTGAAGCATATAGTGAAGCCGTTACTGGTTTGTGGTCTTAGTATCCAGGGTAAAAAAAAATAATTTCTTAGAGCACAGTTATATCATGTTCCTTTAATTCTCACTGCTACTCTTCTAAACTTTTCTTCAGTTTCCTTCCTCTTTTCTCCACTTATATTACTACTACTGCCCTAGTTCAGGCTCTTATCATAACTTGCATAGACATTTTTTTTTGAGATAGTCTTACTTTGTCATCCTCATTACAGTGCCATACTGTCACAGCTCACAGCAACCTCATACTCTTGGGCTCAAGAGATCCTTTTGCCTCAGTCTCCCCAGTAGCTGGGACTACAGGTGCACCCTGCAACACCTGGCTATTTTTTTTTTTTTTTTGAGACATGGTCTGTCTGTGGCTCAGGCTGGTCTCAAACTCCTGAGCTCAGGCAATCCACCTGCCTTGGCCTCCCAGAGTGCAGGGATTACAGGTGTGAGCCACCATACCCAGCTAACATAGACAATTTTAAAAGCCTTCTAATTTGTCCATGATCTTTACCCCTGGGATTTGTTTTCCACACAGCCAGCAGAAAAATCTAAATTGCAGTGCTGGTCATGTCAGTGATTGTTTAAAATGGATAGGGATGGCTCAGCGCCCGTAGCATAGTGGTTACGGTACCAGCCGCATAACACTGGCAGGTTCAACCCCACCCGGACCTGCTAAACAAAAACAACTGCAGCAGGGTAGTGCCTGTGGCTCAATGAGTAGGGTGCTGGCCCCCTATACTGAGGGTGGTGGGTTCGAACCCGGCCCCGGCCAAACTGTAACAAAAAAGAAAAAATAGCAGGGCATTGTGGTGGGCACCTGTAGTCCAGCTACTTGGGAGGCTGAGGCAAGAGACTAGCCTAAGCCCAAGAGCTGGAGGTTTGCTGTGAGCTGTGATGCCACATCACTCTACTGAGGGCAACAGAGTGAGACTTTTTCTCTTAAAAAAAAACAAAAAACAAACAAATTTTAAAAAAGATTTAAAAACAACGACAACAATTGCAGCAAAAAATAGTCGGGCGTTGTGGCAGGTGCTTGTAGTCCCAGCTACTTGGGAGGTTGAGGCAAAAGAATCGCTTAAGCCGGAGAGTTTGAGGTTATTGTGAGCTGTCACGCCACAGCAGTCTACTGAAGGTGACATAATGAGACTCTGTCTCAAAAAAATGAGTAGGAAACCTGTTTCCTTAAGTGTAGCCTTTTGACTGAATTCAAATTTTATAGAACAAATTCTTTTTATTTTATTTTTAGTAATACATTAATACATTTTTAAATTTTATTTCATTTTTATTAATATATTAATACATTTTCTTTTTTTGTTGTTTTCTCTATCTTTTTTTTTAATTTCAGATTAATATAAGGGTACAAATGATTAGGTTACATTGTTTGTGTTTGTTAGGTAAAGTCCAAGTTGAGGTTAAGCCCTTCACCCAGGAGATGTGCCATATACCCCTACATTGTGCCCATTACTAAACTCTCTCCCTTGTTAATCTTTTATATTTTTATTTTATTTTTTAAATGAACATATTTAAAATACCAAAGAATAAATTAAGTTTCAACAAAATAATCCTCCCAGATTGGCTGGTACAAATAGAACATTAGTAAGCCATAAGGGCTAAATTGACAGCTGCTGTGCTTGTGATTTAGTTCTAACTTCTCCCACCTGACTGGTGCCTCCACTGCACAGGGCTGGTTGACAAGAGTTTATAGCAGTCAAGTGTGCCAGTCTGATATCAGCTTTTGACAGGTCTACTGTATTTCTGTTTGAAGTGGAATTTGTGATTAGTCGCATAGTTCCACAGAATTTTTAAATTTTGTCTGTTACGCTGCCCATCATGTGAAAGAAGACCAAGAGAATGCTAAAGGAAGAAAACAAATTTTTTTCATGAGGATTGGGAATTGCAATATCATCTTGTTTCTGCTAAAGATAGGATGATTTTCTTTGTGATACTGCATTATCAACATTAAAGAAATTCAATGCTCATCATCATTATAACACTGAGAAGGACCACAGATACTTTAAACTAGAGAGAAAGGTGTGAAAGGTTTTATTGCAGAAATTAAAAGATGAAAAGCAAAAGCATAGACAGTTCTTTCAAGCAGCAATAAAACCTGGAAATAATGCCACTGGCACAACTTATAAAGTAGCTTATATACTCACGAAAAGTGGGAAGCCATTCAGTGATACAGAAATTGTGAAAGAATGCATTGTCAAAAGTTGTAGGATGCTTAGACTTCCATAACATTTCAAAGTACAAACAACTGCCTTTTTTAAGGAAAACCATAACTGATGGCAGCATAAATTAGCCTTCAGCTTAACAGAACAACTTCATGCCATACTTCAAAAGCAAAATATATATTATTCAATCATTTTGGATGAATCAACAGACACTACTGACTTGGCACAGGTTTTATGCTTCATTCGGGTCATAACAGAAGATTTTCTTTGCTACAAAAGAAGTCACTCACTTGGGCACTCGTGTAAACAGAACACAGGGAATAGATGTCTTAAACTTTGGACTGAATTTGGTATAGGTTTATACAGATAGAAAAAGAATTAACACATCCAAATGCTCTTATATCTTTTCATTATATTTTGTATCAGCAAAATCTCTGTGCTAAAGCTACTGTTTTGAGTGACATTTTATAACAAGTTAGAAGTATTGTTAACTATATTTATTCAAATGCAACATGACATTCTCAGATTCCTAGCATGCTAAAGTGGAATAATGAGGTTTTCAGTGTGGATTTGCTGTATTGTTCTAAAGTACATTGGCTAACACAGGGACAGGTGTCAGCCAAAATTTTATCTCTACCAGAACAGAGTTAAATTTTGTGAGGAAAAGAATCAGCAATTGGAATTATTGAAAGAAGATTTCTGTAGGAATACAGCATGTCTATGTGAAATCATGTCAAATCAAAACAACATGAATATTTCTTTGCAAGGTAAAAGTTAAAACTGTATATAACATGTGGCAAAAAAATCCAAGCATTTCACAAAAACCCGTGTTTTTTCAAAATACTTATTCAAAAGGAAATTTTGGATGGACATTTTCCTCAGTTACCAAAGGTTATTGATGAGCAGAATGATATGTGTAAATCATTTGAAGAATATGCAGCTGTTGTAGACCTATTAATTGGAGAATACAGTAAAAGATTTACTGACCTTGAGAATCATGCTATCACACTCAAAGTAGCATTTCAGCCTTTCCTAGTTGATATCAAGGTACTAAAGAACTATAAGTGGAATTGATTGAGCTCTCAGTAGATGAGATTTTAAAGTCATTGTTTGAGTCTAAGAAAGATCCAGTTGAAATTTGAAAAACTGCAATAGAATATTCACATTTTCAGCAACATGCCTGAAAAGTGCGTTCTTGCCTTTCAACCACTTAACTCTGCAAATCTTCATTCTCTTACCTAACCTAAATCAAGACTGCCCTTAAGATCACAAATGACTGGTAACCATCTACACTTGGAGGGGTGTGCAACCTTTTTCTATGTTCCAAAGCCATACTTTGGAAAAATTTTGCCTTTCAACCACTTAACTCTGCAAATCTTCATTCTCTTACCTAACCTAAATCAAGACTGCCCTTAAGATCACAAATGACTGGTAACCATCTACACTTGCAGGGGTGTGCAACCTTTTTCTATGTTCCAAAGCCATACTTTGGAAAAATTTTAAAAATTGGGCCACAGAATAAATTCAAAAAAACTAATGAAAGCTAATTAGGAAGAAGAGAGGTCTGTGCATACTTTTCACGATATCCAACACTACAGATGAACGAAAGAGATCTTCACAAAATCAGCATGTGGCTGGTGGACCCACAGGTTTGTCAACCCTGATAGAGGATCGACTGAAACTATGAACCTCCATGCTACAACCAAATATTGAAAGGCTTTCCAACAAAAGCCAGATAGAACAAAGTCCTTAAAGGTTAGTTACCTTTAAAATTAAAGAGTTTTTATATTTTGAAATTATTAACTACATAGTATTAATATTTTTACAAAATAATGTACATTTTTAAGTATGTCTAAATTATTATTATTTTTCTTTTTTTTTTTTGAGACAAAGTCTCACTTTGTTGCCTTGGTAGAGTACTCATGGTGTCATAGCTCTTAGCAGTCTTGAACTCTTGGGCTCAAGCAATATTTTTGCCTTAGCCTCCCCAGTAGCCGGGACTACAGGTGCCCATCACAATGCCCAGCTATTTTTTAGAGATGGGGGTCTCACTCTTGGTCAGGCTGGTCTCAAACTCTTGAGCTCAGGTAAACCACCCACCTTGACCTCCCAGAGTGCTGGGATTACAGGCATGAGCCGCCAAGCCTGGCTAATTAAAGTTTCTTGAATGCAGCCTTATTTGATTATAGCTGCAATAATGTGGCTTTACAATATAAAAAGATTCCACACCCCTGGTTTAAAACTTTTGAGTGACAGTTTTCTGTGCTTAAATCTTCAACCTCATTTCTACCACTCCCCAAAGTGCATTGCTACCTAGGATTTGATTTCCTGCGTCTATACTTTTGTTCATGCTGGTTGCCTTTATCTGAAATATCTTTTCTTTCATGTCCCCACTATGTGTGGCTAATTTTTATTCTTCCTTTAAAACTTAACTTGAGCAATATCTCATATAAGAAATGTGTCCGGCTCGGCGCCTATAGCTCAACCGGCTAAGGCGCCAGCCACGTACACCTAAGGTGG